CTCATTGTCCAAATTGATGGTACATTATTGTATTGGAAATACAAGTAAGTTTTATTATTGGCAGTTGTCCAATATAGTAATCGCAAAATTCTTCTCGTTGCCTTTGCCCTTGTCGAAGAAGAAGATACAGAGTTTTGGGCTTTTTTCCTAAGAAATCTATGACTACATGTTATCACTCGGGATCGTATTTGTATCATTTCAGATCGAGAAGATGGGATCAACGCAACAATAGACTCTTTGGGTCCAATATGGAAACCCTTAAACGTCTAACATCGTCTCTGTATCCGACATATTGCTGCAAACTATCATGGTAAATATAAGAAGAACGATGAATGATAATTAATTATATGCATGAGTATGTTACATTTTTCCCAATTTCATTTCTTACTCATTTTCATCTTTTTTATATTAACTACTCATTTTTCTTAGGTTACGAATTCTCACCTAAAATGTTTGAGAATACGCTTCAAGAATTGCGAGAAAAAACAAACATGGATACAATTACATCAATGAAATCAACAAAGAGAAGTGGACAAACGCATACAGTGGTGGATATTGGTATGGACATATGACAACTAACTTGGCTGAGACAATCAATTTAATCTTAAAGGGGGTCTGTCATTTACTAGTGACTGCTTTGGCTAAAACGACGTATTTCTGTTTGGGTCAACTTTTTTCCAAGCCCAGGGGATAAACTCTTACTTTGATACAAAACAGTCATATTTATCACCCACGATTAGTAGAAAATATGTAGCAAAAGGTTGTGACATCAAACAACATGTCTGTAATAAGCTTTTCTCGCACCTAATAATTATTTTGGGTCACAGAAATACCGTGACCCCTGCAAGGGATCGAATCTAATTCTTTCAGAGTTAATCTACGGGAAAGATGTTGTGATTGTGGGTTTTTCCAAGCTTTGAAGTTTCCATGCTCCCATATCATAGCAGCTTGCTCATTTTCTCGTCAAGACTATAAGCGTTATATGGATCTCGTATACCAACTTTATAAAGTATTCAAGGTATATGAATATGAGTTTCCCCCATGGGTAATGGCAAAGACCCAAATGAGGTTCAAACTTATCTTTCAATTATACCGAATTTATACTTATTAAGGGAGCCAGATCGTCCAAAATCCACTCGAATTCATTGTGATATAGATATTCGAGAGACGTCAAGACAAAACTTAAGATGTGGCCATTGCAGAAACCTCGGCCACAATAGAAAAAAATGTCCATCTTTTATGATCATGTAGTCATTGACCCCACTCATGTAATCATATCATCTTATGTTTCAACTTATCTTATTATATTTCCTTTTAATTTCGATTAATGTGATTTTAGCATTTTCATTTCTTATATCTATGTATTTTTCAATTAAATGTTTAACTTTTATTTTTTACAATCTAACATATAATTAAAAACATAAACATCCTAACATACAACCAATTTTAAATTTTTTTAAAAACTCTAAACCATATAAATATAACCTAAACCACTATGACAATGACATAAACCATTAATTAAAACCCTAAAATCATCTTAAATTAAAATCTTAAACCTAAATCCACCATTAAAGAAGCGCGTGCCGCAGAACACGCCATTTAAGAGAGAGGAGTTTCCTAGAACGCGCCTTTGTTGGGAGGCGCTAAAGACGCATTCTATGCACAACGCCTACTATCCCCTGAAAAAGTGGTTAGAAATAAGTATACGAAAAGGTGAATTTTTATAGTAAAGTGATTTTTTAGTCAAAACACCCGTAATAATATCTCTAAATAAAAATTTGTCCTCATCTTGTGCTTCAGACTATAGCCATCAACTCGCCATCTGTACCCTCACGCGCCGCCCTTTACCCGCAGCTTTCCACCACCACCACCACCGTCGTCATCTTCGATTCTCCCCTACTTTTCCTACTTTAAGCCCTTTTCTCCTCAACCCGCAACTCCTCCGACGACCGGTGAAAATGTTTTGTCATCTAAAACTCTTCAGCCCCCAAATCAGTTAGTCGAATCGTCAAGACCCCACGATCCAGACAGCTTAAACTATGTCGTAGTCAATCCTAATACTAACTCCTTACTCGGTCTTGCTCGTACCACTGAATCCAACATTGAAAAGGTATTCATTGAATTTCGGTGTTTGCCCTTTTGATGTTAACCCATTTCCTCAATTTCCCCCCGGAAGCTTATGCCAGTTCATGTTTGTGCAGACAATATTTGACTTCCGTTTCATGGCACTTTTCGCCATTGGAGGTTCGTTGGCCGGTTCATTGTTATGCTTTCTGAACGTACTTTCCAATTCCCATCTTTCTTTTTTAATCTATATTTTCAGGGAAAAAAAGATTTTCCTCTTATTTTAAAGCTGAGACATGTTTGGTTTGATTGAATATTATACATACACACACATTTATGACTGAGAGTTTGCAGGGTTGTGTATACATTGCTGAAGCTTATAAGGTTTATTGGACAAGCTGTGTTAAAGGGATTCACACAGGGAACATGGTCCTGCGATTGGTTGAAGCAATTGGTAACTTCTCCAAAATTTAATTGAAACCAAAAAGGAAGTTTTAATTTTATTGGAGACGTTCTTGAGTCGTATTCTTTGTATTTTCGAGATAGGAAGCTCACAATTTTTGTTATTCTCTAGCATGAACCTAGATTTGCCTTGAATCATTTCCCCTGTGGTTTTCTCATGTGACAAATAGAAATAACTGCAAAGGAAGTGATATTTGAATCAATATGTATGATGTTGCAGATGCTTATCTTGCCGGGACAGTGATGCTAATATTTGGTATGGGGTTGTATGGATTATTCATCAGTAACTTGAACCCGGAATTGCCTACCGATGTCGATCGTGCCCTCAAAGGCTCATCCTTGTTCGGAATGTTTGCTATGAAGGTAACAGTCTTCACTTACAACACTGCTTCTTCAACACTTAATTAGATTTGTCCGCGATTCGGGTTGAACCGCAGCTTGATCTTTTATATCCTCTTATTTAGATAGGCCTACTCGAAAGAGTCTCTAAGTCAGCCATTGCTTCTAATATCGCAAATTAGCATGGACAGTAGATACCATACAAACCCTCCATAAGTCCCTCAAAATACATGTCAGTCATATATCTGTATCCGAACACGCATTAAAGTACGAGTAATGTAGATACCGTATTTGGAATTCGGTTTTGTGTTGGTTTCTAACCAATGAAACGATTGTGATTGGTGCAATGCAGGAGAGGCCAAAATGGATGAAAATAAGTTCCCTGGATGAACTGAAGACAAAAGTGGGGCATGTAATAGTGTGATGATTCTTTTAGTGAAGATGTTTGAAAGGAGCAAAATGGTGGCAATAAACACGGGCATGGATCTGCTTAGTTATTCTATCTGTATCTTCCTCTCCTCTGCTTCTCTGTACATCCTTCGTCATCTTCACAAGCCTGAATAGTTTTCCTATGCAAAAGTAGTAGATTGTGGATTCTATCTTTTAAACACACGGTTAACTCTTCTATTTGTGTTTTATATAAAAGGGATTATGTGTAATATATTTATTTATGTTGTAAAAGAATTTGTTAAATAACATTAAAACTTTGTTCTTGGTCTAATTATGCATATTCGGCTACAAGACAGAGAAAGCCAATCACTAATATAATTTTAAAAATCATGAAAGAATGTTTTTTCTTTCCAAAAGGTAATGCGATCAGTGAGAAAAGTAAGATCTTATGTTAACATATTATTAGATGTAGGTTGGGATGATAATCGCAGCGTATAACATGCTCTGCCTTGGAAGACTAAGTTGATTTCTCCCTTCTTTTACATGTCCATAGCTTGTAACCCTGTATATTATTCGATTAATCCGATATATAAGTCGATAATTTAGACATAAATATGATAATGGAAAATGGTAGTAACTATATATGTATATTATATATTCCGTTTATTATACATTAATAGCTTAATTAAAAAAATAAATTTTCAAATTATATCTTTTTCTCAAATAGATGTCTAATTTTTTCTTAAATTACCATTATAAAATAAGTGTTCAAATAATACCGTTTTTTTCTAAATAAATGCTTAAACTTTTTCTTGAATCATTCACTATTTTAAGTGTTTGAGACGTAACGGCCATTTAAAAACAAGTGACATATCATGCTCTGATAATTTTAATTTATTTTAAAAATTAAAAAATATTATATTTATAAAAGACCTTACTTTTCTAAAATTATTATAAAAAAACTCAAATTTCTAATCCCTCTTGTAAGTCACGATCGTCGTCAATGCTACCATTATCATTTTTCTAGTCAACCGTTATTTTTCTTGTCATCATTGATGTCATTAATCATCTGGTGTCATGAATTTAAAAGTTTGAGATTATATTGTTTCCTTTTTAAGAAGCGACATTTATAATTAAGTTTCTATTTTTTTAAAAAATTAATTTTCTTAAATTTTGATTTTTTTTTAAGTTTTTAAAATTTAAGGTTTTCAAAAATATATATATAATTTTAATTTTATTAATAAAAATAAAATTTTTATTTATAATTAAGTTTCTATTTTTTTTAAAATTAATTTTCTTAAATTTTGATTTTTTTTAAAGTTTTTAAAATTTAAGGTTTTCAAAAATATATATATAATTTTAATTTTATTAATAAAAATAAAATTTTTAAAATTATCCGAACGTAAGACATTTCAATATCACGAATATCTAAAGTAATATAAAATCCACTATATAATAATATCAATCTATATGTACATTCTTGAACCAACAATATACAATAAAAAGTTCTGCAAAGAATCATTACTATCAAAATCCTTCACACCTATCTTAAAACTTTTATCAACACCCCCTTTTTTTTGGTTAATTTTTCTATATACATTTTTCCCCTCTCAATCTAAACTCTCATTTCTATGTACAACTATAACATCATTACACACTGCTATGTAATTTAGTTTCCTCCGAAGACTCGGATGCTGAAATTGTTTCCTATATCATTACATTAAAGTCTAAAAGAAAAAAAAAACATAATAATTATATATATATATATATGCATTAGTATTGTATAATGATATCTCCCATTGGAGCTCGATGAGGTACTCCCTTCCTCCTCCGGGCAGGTCTGGCCGTCGGGGGCGGTGTTGACGGCGTAAAGCTAACTTGATGTTCGTTGTAACTTGCACTCCCATTGCTAACACATGTTATATTCAACGACTCACCCTCCGACTCGTCTGCTTCTTTGTACATTCTATTCCTCTTCCCGGATGTTCCAACCACCTGAAAGCAACAAAATTGTCATTCACAAAGAATCAAAATAAAACGTAATAAACGGATGGTTATTTACGTGAATAAGAATGTAATTTAACCTTGCAACCCAGAGAGCAGAAGGCGAAGGAATCAAGGAGGCTGCGGTGGCAAACATGGCAGGTATTGGTGACGCCTTTGCCAAGCCTGGGCTGTGGTCTTTCGTTCAAGAACACGATCCGAGCACTGTTTATTATGTATGTCTGAATCCCTGAAATATCCATCAGTTTCTGAATCTCCGACACTCTTATAACATCATGGTACGATGATCTCCTTATCTGCCAACACGAATGCAAAATTCATACATATTCCACGCACATACACCAAAAGAAAGATTTATATATATATATATATACATACCTGAATAACTGCATGGCCTTTGTGACAACCAAGGCAGAGGGAACATAGAGCACCGTTCATGCAATCCAAGCAATACATATTGCATTCACTCTTGTGAGCATCTGCGTGGAGCTTGCACTGACCGAAAAATCTTGTTCGAAGCAGTGGAACCAGCCATGGCGGCCACTTCATTTCATCATATTCATCTTCTGGTCCTCTATCTCCCTACACAAATTTATTTCATCATCAAAATCATTCACTTTCACAAAGATAAATACCAACAAGGACCGGATGGCCTAACCATGATTCGTCTGCTTTTTGGTTTGATTTCTCGAACAGTAGTACCTGTTTCTTGATCAATATTCAGCATCTAAGAGATAACTTTCTTGGAAAATCCTATTTTCCCAAGAAAGGAAGTGGGTTGCTTTGGAGACTGGTGAGTGGTGTACGTGAAGGTGCTTATCTTTGGCTTAAAAGTCTATGGACCGAATCTCTATCCCAACTTAAACGAAAAAACAAACAAACAAACAAACAAATTTAAATACGTTTATTTGAAGGAACTTCACCAGATTCTTCCATTTTATCGACTTTATATCAATATTTTTTGGGTTTGATGAAAGCTGGTCATATATCTAGGGACAGAGTGATGGTGGCTGGCACCTTGGAAGACTAGACGTGTGGTTCTTTCCAACATTTGACATTTGGAAGTGAGTGATTCAAACATGTGTGTAGATGTAATGAATCATACAAAATGTAAGGATACTTTACATGCCATGTGTTGTTGGACGTATATTTTTATATCAATATAAATAATGATTTTGCATGGATTGGTGATACAGAGGAGTTCAAAGCTAGGATTTTTGGAATTTAATGTTATCGGATGACTACGGACAAATGTTTCAATTTAGAAGCATCTTGTGAATTCTTTATTCTTGGTCCAACGTAGATGATAATGAATTCATGCTTATCTCTTTTTATTTCCCCTTTTTATTTAAGCCTATTCAAGAAGCTCTAGACTAATTTCAATGGCTGATTTTATTATTGTTCTATTAAAGTTATTTTTAGCTTTTTTGATAATTATTTTTTTTAATTTTGATTGTACTTATTTTAAATATAGTATTAGTATGTGTAATAATTTATTTATAATAATATTTTAATTAAACAACTAAATTAAAACTATTTAAAACACAATTCATTTATAATCAAATGGCATTAAATGTATTTTACACTAATATCTATTGTTTTTTAAACAATATAATTAACAAAATGTAATTTCATTTTTTTAAATATCACCACAATTAATGTCATTAGTTTAGTTTAAGGAAAAGAAAAGAAAAAGTAGATAGAAGGAAAGAAACAATTGAACATGGACATTGAAAAGAAAAACGAACCTTGGATAAATCTATAAAGTGTGTTCTTGTCTGATATTCATTGGATTTGAAGCCTAGGTGGATCCGCTGGAATATAGCATGAGATAGTTATGTTCCTACTGCTACTGAATATGACTTTGATCTTCCTACTGCTACTGACTTCGAGGTCGAAATAAACCTATCCAAGAGCTAACTTCTGTTCCTCCAAATTTTGAATTCCATTTGATATTTGAGATTATTTTCAACAAAAATGTTAAATTATAAAGATTTTGCACAAAATTAATTATGTTTAAAATATAAGCCGAACTTGGGTAAACGTATTTTGTATTCATAGATCAATCCAAACCCAATTCTACCAGCATGAGCACCTTTAGCTCAAAACTGTTTGTCTTCAGACCTCGTCATGATAAAGGAAAGCATTGGCTTGTAATTTTAACCACATTTTCTCGCCTTCTCAAATTAACCCACTTAGGACCACCCTCCATACATAAGCAGTGGTAATATCCCAGTATGCCTTCCGGACGTGTGCTGCTCGGTTTTGGAATCCGGCTTTGCATTCTATTCCTTTTCTGGACATGGAAATGAGAGGGAAAGGGAAAGTGAGGCAGATGCATCCTCCTCCTTTTCTTTTCCGGTTACCTTGTCGTCTACTGTTCCAACAACGAAAGGCGAGATCCCTCTGTTTTGTGGTATAGTCTCAGCCCCTAATGCTAGCTCAAGATTAGGATATGCGTCGTGAACTCGGTCCTTGTCTTCTATAGAGAGCTCCTTCCACGGTTTAGAGTTGTCCCTCAACTGAAGTTCCCTTGCACGATGTGAAACCACGGGATAAAAACACCCTTCGCTACTTCCAATGTCCTTGGGGATAACTTCGTTTTCACAAGCAATGTCACATTTCTTCTTTTCGACAAAAGAGGCGGACCATGGATCATGTCTATCTGATGCTAAACTATAACCAGACGGACCTTGATCTCTAACACTATTAAATTGATTTATCCCACAGAAACCTGTCTTCAGCATTTTATTATCGCTTCCTTCACCTATAGAAACTCTTCACCTCACTCCATGGCAATTTTTTACTTGTATCGGTACAAATTTCTGAAACTGTTTGTGTAAGATTCAAGTACGTTCATTTCCGATTATTCGGCTGCAAACAATCAAGATCTCTCTTTGAAGAAGTTTTTCCATCGGCACCCACATCATCCATCGGATCCCTAATTTTAACAGAACCACCATCAATTTCCCCCACCATAACTGCCATTTGCTTTTCAGTAGGGCAATTTTTTGAAAGTGGATAATCTTCTTGGACATCCATTTCCTCTTTCTCAACTCTGACAGAACCACTATTGGTTTCAGTAGCCTGAAGGCTAGGTTTGAGATATGTGTCGGATCTACAATCTGGAACTTTGCTCTCATCCTGCAAAACAAAGACGAAGGTCAACATTCGTAGGAAGGGGATTTTGTTTCTTTTTCCCGTTTTCCAAAAATGAATGCAACACAGTTCAAATAACAAAAAATGAAGTTTCAATGATTACTAGTCCTTCCAATGTGGCTAAGATACATCGACAGAAGAGCACATTGCAGAAGGACTATTGCAATTTGTTTCTGGATGCACCTGTGCGCTGCTTGTTGCAATTATCGGCAAGATTTTGGTGTCAACTTTACCATCTTGCTCCTCCGATTTTGCTTTTATTCCCACGTATGCCTGCTCAAAAGAAGAGACCTTGTTATCATCAACTCTCTCTGTTGAGATACATGCTTTTTCAACAGCACTGATTACTGGGACAACATTGCAAGTACTATCACATGCAGCTGATTTATCATCTACCGGCTGAGACATATCCATAGATATCTCCCTTTCCAAATGTATCATACTTGCATCAGGATTGCGTACACTCTTCATGAAATTAGAAGAGTTTGCTCTTCTTCCCTTGAAGACACCCCAAAGGAATAATAATGCATTCCACCCTGCAAATAGTAGATCACAAATTTTAGCAATCTTTTGAAGAAAAATCAAAATATCAAAAACATAAAAACACAAAATCCAACAAAAGCAAAGACTAATCTTGAGAACAAAGAGAAACAAATGAAAACAGATCAAAAAATCAGCCTCAAAGGATAGGTCCATCATTTCTGAGTACAACTTTAAAGAATGAGAACATAATGTTCTGTCGATAGCTAAATTATGAGTTAATGCACTAAAACCATTTGATTTGATATCTAGGAATTTCCCATATAATGTCACATCAAATAAATGGAATGAAAGAAAAAGATTCATATAGCCTGTCCCCACAAATTAGGGATTAAGCAGTAGTTTTTGAGTTGTGCTAGCGCAGAAACAGGAAGACATGCAATGAACAGCGTTTGACAGAATTAAATAACTCAAAGCTAACGATCTACATATAACAAAATGAAAGTCATTCTCCAAGCCTTGCTTTAAATATGTTCTCTAGATACTACTATTCCATTCAACGTTACCAAAGCAAAACCAAATAGATGATGAAAAAATCCCCAAAAAAACCTATGGAAAATGCACTTAAAAAAACAATAAACATTTGCAATACATCGCATCATACAATCTACAGTAATGTAAACATGTTCTAATGCAGGATACAACGCTGATGTTGGCAAGAGACGCAGAAAACGCTTGGTAGCAAAAGCTGCCTTCAATGTAGCCTAGCAGAGTTTATAAACAAAAGGACATTTCTTTCCTTTCTTTCCTTTTTTTACTTGCCATTACAATCTCCTTTCTTTGAAACACCAAGGGGTGACATAACTCAAAACTCTGCTTACATTTAGGTGTTTAATGCATCATATCATCTAGTAGCCCTAGCCTGCACAAAAACATGCCAAAAAAGACTACCAAATCAATTTCCTTTATCTAAAATGCTCCACAACTTGAGGATTTCGGTGGATGCCAATGTTAGATCCAGACAGCAGGCAAATTTATCTATTAATCCACAGAACTAGAGCATTGACGTGGAAAAAAAATGATGTCTAAGCACATTATCACCTTGTCGCACATCCCGCTAAAATGCAATTCATCTAATTGTAATACTTTGGAATAAAGAGATGCTGTTTTCCACCTAAATTGGTTTTTTCCCCAGCTATTGAGGGTGGAAACCCGAATTTGAGGCTCACCCAATTGATTTAAATCTTTACATTTTACAGGGGAAGTATGCAGGTCGTGAATATCAAATACAATAAGTTTTAAGAGAAAGCTAAGAGATCGTGAATATCAATGCAATAAGTTTTGAGAGAACACTAAGAGGTTGTGAATATCATGGAATTTCCATATCCAGGTAATATGATTAGGAGAGTTCTTTAAGTCACCGCTGTCTATAATTGGCAAGTATGTAAGAATCCAATATAAAAAATAGCCCCAATGAACATGCTTTACCAGTACCTACTAGGCTTCATGGTGTGGTATAGACAGACATAACCCTTTATCCTAGCCTTTTCACGCCAAAGCATATAGCCCAACCAAGAAAAATTACAGGGTTCTTTACTGTATTTTAATATCTCAATTTTGCAGCAAATCTTACGCTGGCAATTTTCAGGAAGTTGGTTGGATGGGAATATCAACAGTTCAACACCTTCAAAAGCTCCCTTGAGAGCAAAGTCATTCTTGACCATGGTATCCAGAAGGACCTTGTAGTTCTCATAACTGAAACAAAAAACTAAGTTTTAAGAGAGATTGAGAAAAATTGCATCAATGATCAATCCAAAAGGAGAAAGGAAAGAAAAAGAGGAGGAAGTCCGAACAAAGAGAACAATACAACGGATGTACAAATATACCTTTCACGGTCCTTGGCAAAGAAATACAGAGCTATATTATCTTCTTTAGGACCACTGTCATGAAAGTGTGTCGGCCAAGTGCTCAAGCAAGGTATTTCATTCAAGGAAACTTTGTGGGGAAAAGAGTTGACAACTTCAAGCACTTTAGGTGATGCAAGTGTTGAGAGATGGGCTTGAATTTCAGTAGAAAACCCGGAAGTTTTCCACTTTTATGCACCTCAAAAGCTCCCCTGCATAAAAGTAACATGATTTATCTCATTTGAGAAACATCTAAAGGCACAGTATGGTGCGGCAATAAATGAAAATGGCACCAATGGGGGGAAATAGTTCAATAGAAGGGCAAGAATCCTACTGCCAGATGCATTCATGTTCCGGGATGGCAGAACTGTTTGAGACAGCAGACCTCAAGGCTAAAGGAGGGATGGATATCTCTCTCATTGAAAGATTGGTAGCAGAAGAAACCGCAGAGACAGCATCAGTGGAATGTGAATTAAGCTGTTTGATATTACCAATGGAAGCCTGATTATGAAGATTTTCTTGCCCTTCATGAATACCTTCAACAGGAATCATATTCTTTGTCTTATTAGAAATTGATGATGGAACGTGAGATGCTCTGTCACGTATTCCAGGCCTCAAACGGATAGCTGCTTCAATTGCAGCTTTTAACTTATTGCCATTATATATGTCCTCCCTAGGTGTCCTTGGATCAGACCGATCAGCACCAGAAGCTTTAGAAATTGGACAAGAGTCAACTGTATGACTCATTTCTTTGCATTTTAGACACGGAACACTTTTTGAGGAGCGACTAACACAGCTCTCCCTAGATTTTTCACTTTGATTTGTTGAATCTAATGACAGAGATGGCGCATCTGAAATATTATGTTGCTTCTCAGCTATCCATGAAGAACTTGATGATGGTTCCTCCATTCGGCTTAGTTGGTTTAACTTCAGTTCAAAAGGCATACATCCATCGGTTGATGGAACCACCACATCTGTAAAATAAGAAAAATGCTATTAACTTGTCGGGCTGAACCAAAGGAAAACAGAAACAAAGATGAGGTAACATAGAGAATACACAGCAAAACATTCAAGTCAACATTAAAATGAAAAAAAGTAGTCTCTCCTTAAGTATGTGACAACGTACCAGAAGTAACTGCACTTTCTACAGCTTTGCGATCTAGATTTCTGGTAGATTTTGATAAAGTACTTTTTTTTCCATCAGACTGAGCAACCTTAGTTTCTTTGTAGTTGCTTGCAGATGAATGGAAAATTATGTCAGAGCGAGGTGTCAGTTTCTTATCAACCTTGTGTATGGAGACAGTACAATCCGAGCGATCCAACTTTGAGGAACTTTTCCTTTCTAATGATATCTGCTCTCCATCTATCTTTGATCCTTTCTGATCTTGAACATGAAGATATTTAGATGATAGCCTTTTACACTTTGATTCTCCGGTATTCAACTTTCCTGTGTTAGTGTATTTAAATGACAAGGAATTGTTAATCATTCTGCGTTCCTCCCTGCTATCAAGGGATTCATGTTCTCTAGCATTTTTCTGTTTCTGAAGTACAACTTCATCTACCACCTTCACTTTCCGTTTGGAGTTTAAACTATTGAATGAATTGGATTTACCTGTATCAAGTAGAATGGTATGTCAATGTGTAAAAATAACAAATATAGGAAAAAAATTAGCCAACAAAATCAGTTCACTTACCCTTTGGTGCTTGTAGTTGTGAACCAGAAGGAGAACGTGCAGTTTCTGGCATATCATTACCAGAATGGTTTCCAAAAGAATTTTACAGATATGGCTTCACTTTCCCCTTGTCTAAGTCGTTGGATGAAACCCCTCGAGACAATGCAGATACTCTATTAGGGCTCAATGATTCTGGTGATCCCATACTTGTTTCAACAGCCTTCTTTTTCAGAGCCAAAGCACTCTCTAGATTTTAAGCATGCCTCTTAGCTAAGCTTTGCATACTTGAGCCAACTTTTTTTTGCTTTTTCTCCAATATTCAAATCTTGAAAATTCAATTGCAAAAGGAGTTCAGTACAGGAACTGTCAGAGTGGCATTTTCTGTTCCATCAGTTTGATAACTAACCTTGCTTTTGGGATTCAGTCTCCTCAACAAGCTTGCATTCTTCACAAAGCCAATAACCTTCAGGAACTTTCTCAAGCATTTCTCGCATACAATAACTGATCAATAGAATTAAAAACAAAATATCAATAAAACCTACTGAAGGAACATATCGATAGAGGGATCAGTGCACTTACTTGTGCTCTGCCCCATCAGAGCACTTGCTACATATAGCTAGCAAATCTTCTTGTCCTGCATCCCCACAAATATCACATACTTTAACCTATTGCAAACAATTGGGCAAACAAAGAACAGATAAATCAGCAAAATTTATTGATATGAATGAGTATTGATCAATTTTTTTGAAGAGTTAAAGGGTAAAGAAAGAAAAGAACCAATTCTCTTTAAGTAATGTAAATTAGATGGAATTCGGTTTAATATGCTAGAACAAACAGTCCCAAGGAACCCAGTTATATCAGTCAATGCATGCAGACTTTCTTCAAACAAAGAATAAAACATAATTACTGACATCGTCCGAAGCATCCGATTCATAATCCTCATCTGCAGAAAGTGCTTGCAAAGGAAACTCCTTCTCAGGTAATTCAACAAACTCAGTCGACTCATCTTGCTCGCCTTCATTCAAACTTTTACCACCATTACCTAGCAGGACACTACTATTGTTGTCGATATCTGCTTCGCACTTCTGAATTTTGGCAGATATCTCAGAACTGCCTCCAATAGCAAATTTGCCACTTTGAGAATGTGAATACGGACTTTGTATCCTCAGTGAATTAATAGCAGCATCTTCCTCCTTTATGGAAAGAAGTTCGGACTAGTCTAGCTTCTGGGAAGAGAGCACCTTTTTGGATCCCAAACTACAAACAGACAATGAACTAAGAGATGAATCCTTAATATCTAAATTGTTGTTATTTGCATCATTGGATCTACTAGCAGAAGAAATATTATCATCATGGCCTTCAACACTTTTGAAACCATCATATTTATTTGAGAAGGTCCTTTGAATCCCAACATCTTCTAGTTCATCAAATACACCAGATGGCCTTATAGTTGCTTTAGTTTCTATATGTTCGGAGTAAGAATCGTGATTTGAATTGACACTGAGTAAATTGTCTGCTTCACGCTGGGTATGTTGTAAGCTATCACCTGTTGTATCCTTGTTGACAGAGGGCAGACTTGCCACAGCAACAGGATCAGTTTCATTGAAAAGTAGTCACTTTTTAATCCCATTTGAGCAATACTAAGGTGCATACAAGATGAACAAGGAGCAGAGCAAACGTTGCACTTGCAGGTTATAGATTCTGCTTTTGCATGAACTTTTTGACTCATGTTACACCGAATTAACCTTTCTACAATCTACACTTTTTCATGGTACCTATGAATGAAAAAACAAAAGCACAAATAAGCAAATAATAAATGGAAAGGAAAAGATACATGCCTTCTAACAAACATGTACTTTATTCCCTTTACTAAAAGAAAAAATTAACTGATCCTATGGAACAAAATTACTAATAGCAAGTGCGAATAATTTTTAATTCAACCATCATAAAAGAAAAGATTAGCTGCTTTCTACTTTGGCAGATATATTAGCAGGAAAAATAATGAGTTTCACATCAGAGAAATTATCTAGAAAGGTTAAAAAAGGAATCAAACAAAGCACCAATCTAATATTTTATTGAATCTAAAATCTGCTGACTAGGCAGAACTTTTTATACAAAATGATCAATCATACACTAAAATTATTCCAAAGATTTTTATTTAGAAGCAAATCAATAACATTTCTAATCGAGCGCACTTTTCGACATTGAAACTGAACAGTGCAGAAAATTAGCACCACCAAACTGCAATAAAAAAAATATAATGCAATGAAGTGCTTTAAAGGAATATTTAGAAAAATCATTCCAACCCCTCAACAGGATCCATATATGTTGAGTAGATGTTATACAATTTTAAGTCAGGAAATGGGTGCATGCATGACTATCTTTTTACTTGGTTCTGAGAGAATATAGAAAATGGAAAAGATGAAGGGAGACCATTTGCTAAGCCAACAAATATGAATCCAGCGAAACAAATGAGATTGGGAGACAGCATACAAAAATTAAGAAATAAGTACAGTATTTTCTTGCACTCCACTTCTAAATCATTCCCAGAAAGCATAAGGGGAAAGTAAAGTAATTTTCTATTCTATCATTCTTCATCCCCTACCTATTTGTTCATCTAGTTTTCAACCCGCTTCACCAGGAAAATGCTAAAGTTAACCATAACTAAATACTGTGTATTATAGAGCTTATGAGGAGAGTGTTGGATCATAAACTTGATCCATTATGGGAGCCTAAACCCAAACCCAAACTAAGTTGATGTCATTGCTTACATGAATTAGGTGAAAATGTCATTGCTTACATCAATTTAGTTAGGTGAGAGTTAGACATGTCTCAATTTTTAATGGTTTAAATTAATTTATTTGTGTGGTATAGGATTATTCTTAAGTAGTATAAATACCCCTCCCCATTTTAGTTTAAGAATCAAGAAAATTAAGAGCTTCTAAGTGAGTGAAGAAGCAAAGTCTTATAAAGAGTGAGTTGTAGTATCTTGTTTTTGAGTGAGAGTGCTATTGTAATATTTATTTGAGTTTCAATAAAAGTTGTTTGTGTGAGTGTTTTATTTCCAACAAAGTGGCATCATAGAGAGTTGGAAAGATCGAAGGTCTCGACTAGAGGAATCTGCCGCTGCCAAAATCTTCCCAATCTGAGTACTGACGCGCCGTCACGCACCGCCGAAAGACTGCTGCCAGAAAATCGACTTGACTCACCGAGTTGAGCCGAGTCAGCCGAGTTGGAACCCCTTGACCAAGTTTTCCAAGTCCCTCCCAAGGTTTTTCGACGTTCCGGATTCATCTGTGTAATCAGATTTTGCAAATTGTCATTATATTGAGAGATATGGCAAATGGTATGACACCATTCCAAGTTCTGATACTCAACAACAACAACTAAGACAATTGGAGTATTAAAATGAAGGCACTTCTTGGATCACAAGATGTGTGAGATATCATAGAGAAATGCTATAACGAGTATGTGGATGATTATGTTTTTGCTACTCTTACACCAGATCAAAAGACAACTTTGAAGGATTCAAGAAAGAGAGACAAGAAGGCTCTCTATCTCATATATCAAGCATTAGATGATGATGGTTTTGAAAAGATTTCAAGTGCAAGCTCTATCAAGGAAGAGTGGGAGAAGCTGCAAACCTCTTACAAAGGATCCGAGCAAGTGAAGATGGTTCGTCTCCAAACATTAAGAGGTGAATTCGAATATTTACACATGAAAGCATCTGAGTCTATTTTAGATTATTTCTCAAGAGTAATATTTATTTCTAATCAATTAAAAATAAATGGTGAAAAGTTAGGAAATGTAAGGATGATAGAGAAGATTCTCCATTCATTGGATCCCAAATTTGAGCACATCATCGTGACGATTGAAGAAACTAAAGACTTGAAAGAAATGACTATCGAGCAACTCCAATGATCATTGCAAGCATACAAAGAGAAGCATAAGAAGAAGCATGGGTTTACTGAGCAACTCCTCAAGCTGCAACTCAAGGATATGCATAAAAGCCAACACAATGATAGAAACCAACGTGGCCTAGGCAGAGGTAGAGGCCATGGACGAGGTGGAAGTCGAGGTCATGGACGAGGCTGTAATTACAATAATAATAATTCTAACAACAACTATGAGAAAGGAGAAAGCTCAACACGAGGCCGTGGAAGAATCAATCCGAACTCAAAGTATGACAAATCTCAAGTTCGATGTTATAATTGTCAGAAGTTTGGACATTATGCTTCAGAATGTAGAGCTCCCAACAACAAAATTGAGGAGAATGCCAACTATGTGGAGGAAAAGACAGATGTCAAAGAAACTTTTCTTCTAGCACGAAAGGAAACTGATAGTGGCCAAGCAAATTCTTGGTATCTTGACAGTGGTGCAAGCAATCACATGCGTGGAAGGAAAGACATGTTCGTGGAGCCAGACAAGTCGGTAAGTGGAAATGGTTCATTTGGAGATGATTCACAATAGCAGTGAAAGGGAGAGGTAACATTCTTATCCGTTTGAAAGATGGGAGACATCAATTTATTTCAAATGTCTACTATGTGCCCAATATGAAAAGTAACATATTAAGTTCAGGGCAACTGGTAGAGAAAGGTTATGATATTCATATGAATAATTATAATCTTTATATAAAAGATGATAAGAATAATTTCATTGCTAAAGTGCCAATGTCAAAGAATAGAATGTTCTTGATCAACATACAAAATGATGTTGCAAAGTGCCTGAAAGCTTGCTACAAAGATGCATCATAGCTTTGGCATTTTCGATTTGGGCATCTCAATTTTGGAGGTCTAGAATTGTGTTGAATTATGTTTCGATATAACAAATTTAAAGGTAAAATGTTTTTGGAATTGAATTGAATTTATTCAAAGTTTTAAAAAGGTTTCAAAAATAATTCAAAGTCCATTAAATTCGGATTTGAACAAAAATGCTAAAGGGTGTCAAAGTGCGCCCATGCAGTGCATCCATACACCCCTATAGTGCATCCATACACCTACCACTAGTGCATCGATGCACAATGTAGTGCATCCATGCACTCCATTTCGAATGCAATTAGTGCATCGATGCACCCTGTTATGCATCCATGCACCAAGGCTGCAACGACTAGTTTATTTGAATTTAATGAAGGGGTATCGATGCACCTTGATAGTGCACCGATGCACCATGTTATGGGCAGTCTTTTTGAGTAGAAAAATCATCCTCAAATGGCTCCAAAACATCCCCAACGGTTATATACGACATCAAACACATTCCAAGCTATAAATACAATATAATGACACTTGAAGAAGCAAGAGAACAATTATTCAAGCATTCAAACACAAGAGAAGAGTTTTTCATTCTTATTTTCATCTTTCTCTTGTAAATATTTTGTTCTTGTGAGCTCAATCTTGTAAACACCTACCTTTGAGAGGTTTTCTTGTTTAAATTTTCCTTTCATTGTAAAGGGGTTTTGGTTCTAGCTTATCCCGTGAAAAGCTAAGGGAAATGTTCTAGTTTATCCCATAAAAACTAGGGAGTTGTAAAGGTTATCTCTTTGTCCTCAAAAGAAAGAACAAATTAGTGAATTTGTTGGAAAATCCTTGGTGAGGAGCTAAGGTAGTGGAGGTAGACTTGGTTGATAAGTCGAACCACTATGAATACTGTGCAATTCTCTATCTTTCAATCTCCTTACTCCCTAAACACAAAAACTGATCCCGACCCTCTTTTCAAGCAATTTTGGTTATCGATTCGAGCGTCCGAAAATCCCAACAATTGGCATCAGAGCCTAACTCGTTAGAAGGTTTAACCGCCTTGAGACGATCCTAGAAGACGCTCTACCAATTCTTGACATAACCGAGAATATGGCTTCCACCTCCGGCTCGTTCCACATGGAAGACTCCCTACCAATGAATATGACTCCATACTTCAATGGAGTCAACTATCGTCATTGGAAGAAATTAATGAAGGTATTCATCCAATACAATGATCTTGATGCATGAGAGATTATCGAGAATGGCTACTCTTCTCCAAATAAGAAGGAGAAGAAGTGGAGTGACAAAGAACGGAAGAAAGCTTAACTTAATACGAAGACCATGCACATGGTATTGTATGCATTTGGTCCTGAAATCTATGAAGGAGTTTTTTCATGTTCAAGTGCCAATGAGATTTGGAATAAGCTCGACAAAATCCATGGAAACAAGAAAGAAAAACCAACAAAGGTGGTGTCTCTAATGGCTCGTGAAGAGCCCGATGTATCTTCTAACTCAAATGAATTTAATTTATATACGTTTGATGAGTTACAAGATGCTTTTAATAGATTATATTCAAAGTTTGAGACCATGAACTCCAAATATAAGAAAATGATTTCAAAATTTAAAATCGAAAATGATTTTCTTTTGAAAACAAAAATAGATTTTGAAAGCCAAAATGAAATTTTGAAAAAGGATTTAGAGCTTTCAAAAATAAAAATTGAAAGTTTTGAAAAAGAAAATTTTGATTTAAAAGTTAAGCTTGAATGCTTAACAAAAGAAAAAGAAATCATTTTAAACAATTCATTTAGTTCAATAATGACAATATGCTCACATTGTCATTATCATGGTCATAAGGAACATACTTGTCATTTGAAGAAAGGAAAACACTTTAAAATTAGACAAGTATGGATTCCGAAAGGAACAAGGGGCATTGAAACTAACGTTTAAGGATCCAAAGAAATTTGGATACCAAAATCGAAATAAATGTCTCTTGTAG